TTTTTTTAAACTCCATCTTGCTTTGTCTTCTGCCGTACCAGGATCCGAGCTGAAAAATTAAAACGTTCTGTTATGAAATAAGTATAACACTGAAAAGCTTGAACTAAGACTAAAACTAATTTCTCTATTCTTTCTAATCTTTACTTATTATATCTCGTATTTATTTATTAAATATATTTATTCAAACAAACAAGCTTAACACACTTTTTTTTTAATTTATAAAGTAAAACTCCTTCAAATTGGGTGGGTGGGAGGGAATTATATATATTCTCTGCCATCTTCACGGAATGCGAAAGAGCCTTCGAATGACCTAACTCTAAAATCTACTTTTCCTCATCACCTTCTATTTGATAACACTACTCAAGTGACCAGTCACATGATATTAACACTACTCAGACCTTACTGAACAGTTCGCACATAAACGTCACGTGTCTGCATACCCACAACAAATATATTTATGTTCTAATTCGTTACACTCAAACGAACATAAAATATTTATAGCATAAACACAGACACAGTGTTAGGTATGGAAGCGCTCATTTCGATGATAAAGAAAGAAGAGTGTATCCTTGTATTCTATGCAAACGGAGTGATATGTCAAAATAAAATGTGAATATTTATTTATTTATTTATTTAATTATTTTTTTTTTAATATATATAATTCCTTCTGAAAACACATTCAATCCAACTAACGGTTTCTGTTATATTTATCATAACTGAAATCGTCTTCTCCGATAAAAGTTCCTTTTCACAAGAATTCTCTTTCACTCGTAAACTCTTCACTCTCTCTTTCTTTATCGCTTCGTCTTAATTTCATTCTTTCATTCATTTTCTACTAAAATTTTCTCTTCTTCCGAGTTCAAATTGCTGTGACATATATTTCAACATTTCAGTTATTTTCCTTAAAATCTCTTACGCATTCTTCAAATTAGATCGACTTTAACTTAATGTATGAGGACTAAAACTCCATGCATTAAGCAACAGATATGAATAAATAAATATATATATATATATATATATATATATATATATATATATATATATATATATATATATATATATATATATAAACAAATATAAAATTTAATTCACTTATTTGAATTTTTTTTTTATATCTGTTTGTCGATTTAATTATATGCACCAGGCCTTCCTCAACTGCAATGCATATTGAATGCAAACGATATATATTTTTTTTTTTTGGAATTAGATCGACTTAACTTGTTGTACTAGGACTTCCTCAACTCAGCATAACAAGCAACAGAATGTAATTATGCAAAGCATATGAATTTTGATAAGCAAAGAAAAATTTTTTTAAATAAATTTATTATTATTATTATTATTGTTTTTCTGTTTGTCGATTTAATTGTATGCACCAGGCCTTCTTCAACTGCAATGCATAATGAATGCGAACAACTTATTTGATAAATTTTTTTCTTTCGCTCTTTCTTTGAATTAGATCGACTTAACTTGTTGTACTAGGACTTCCTCAACTCAGCACAACAAGCAACAGAATGTAATTATGTAAAGCCTATGAATTTTGATAAGTAAGAAAAATTCTAAAAATAATTTCTATTATAATTATTGTTATTATTATTAATTCTGTTTGTCGATTTAATTTTATGCACCAGGCCTTCTTCAACTGCAATGCATAATGATCACAATTAATCTATCACCTGAACGATCTCTCTCTCGTTTTCTCTCTGTCTCTCTCTCTCTCTCTCTTTCTCTATTCACTTTCTCTTTCTCTATTCACTTTCTCTCCCTGTCTCTGAAATTAGTTCGACTTAATTTACGAATGACTTACTCTACTCCTCACTTCAATCAACGTACCGTTAAATATATATTTTTGATGAATTTTTTTTTTACTACGTATGAATTAATATGCATGTATCTTTATTTATTTATTTATTTTTATTTATTTATTGATTTATTCTTAAAAATCTAATTTTATTATAAACTTGACTTATAATGCGATGTGCAAAAGCGTCCGAATCATTGTTTACTAAAACAAATCCGTAATTTCGAATACAAAGCCCTGTATACTAGTTTTATTTCTCACATTATTTATACATGTTTCGTATGGATTCAAAAAACTCCGGCGAAACCCCCCAATCGTCAAAATCGATAATTTTGCTCAAGTAATCGGCTGTTTCGTTTTTATTTCTGGGAATCCAGCTAATATCAATGGAAATTCCGAAATTAATGCAATTCTTAAAAATACTGAAGGATAAATCTTGCAATGATTTTTTCATACTTCCAGTTTGTACAATCTTGACGCAATTTTGATTATCCGAAAACCATTTGACATGAGAATTTGCTATGTGATGCCCAAAAGACATAATAGCCAGATCTACTGCTTTTAACTCTCTCCACGTTGAACTCATGATAGCTTCTTGAGCGGTCGAATTTTGGTGAAAAATTTTTGTTTTCTATTTCGACTGTAAAGGCGCCCGCCCCTACGTTACTAGCGTCCGAAAAAATAATAATTTTTTTTTTTTTTTTTTTTTTTTTTTTTTTTTTTTTTTTTTTTGACGGACTTTAAAAGCGGTCTGTTATTGTGAGAACGAATGTTTTGAAGCCAAAATTTGAGCTCGTTTAGAATGGGACATTTGTCCACTTCGGTTAAAGGGATATCCCAGGAAGATCGATTGACTACTGCCATAGAACAATATCTAGTATAAGTATAAGTGTTCATGTCTTTCCAAAATTGCATGTGGGCACGAAGACTTCCTTTAATGCCGTCTGTCTTTGAGAAATTACGATCAAGTTTTTTAAAATGTTCTATATGTTGGCGCAAATGTAAGTCTGTCAAGCATTCAAAAGTTTCTGGATCTTTCAGAAAATACTTATCTTTTACATTTTCAATTGCGTTGGTTCTCTGGTTCTGGTTTAACTTAGGGGTTGGGGCAGCTTGATCTCCAGTGTCCCGGCTGCAAACAGAGGAAGCAGATGTCGGACGGCATCGGTTTGCGGATCCTACGAAAAAGGCTGTGACGAAAAAGTGGGAAATCTGGGCCCTAGACTGGGATTCAACTGGCCTGCTGAGCTGACTGCGGCTGAAGGAAAAGGCCCTGGTTACGGCGAGGAAGCCATTGCTCTGTTGGTAGAAAAAGGCGCACCTGCGGCTGCGGTGGGAGTGGCATATGGAGAAAAACGTATAGTTGTTTTTACGCGATTGACGAAGAGCCCTGTTTTCCGCTGCTCTGATCTTTCTTTCATCTCCGGAATCGTCAGCAAAGTCGGAAATTTGATACTCTTTCACGGTTTTCCAACCTGCAGGAGAGGAGTCTGCGATTTGAATATGTTTGTTACGTTGACGGATTTTCTCCTTCATCCCCGTAATTATCTGGATGGATTTTGAGTCCTTATTTTCGTGGGCTCTTAATTCTAAAGTTTCTAGACCATCCAGAATATCTAAGTTGAAATTGAATGCTGCTTTATTTCCTTCTCCTTTCAAGATAGTGTCGCGAGAATTCTTTATCTTTTTCTCGAAGGATTCAATTGAACGGGATTGCTGTTCAGAAAAAGATTCAAACTGGTTTTGAACGATAGTTTTCAGTAAATCGAATGCTTCGACCACATTAAGCGTACCTTCTTGTCTTTCTGGGTCTTCGGGGCGTGGACCCGAATCAGTTTGATCATTCTCTGCCATCTTCACGGAATGCGAAAGAGCCTTCGAATGACCTAACTCTAAAATCTACTTTTCCTCATCACCTTCTATTTGATAACACTACTCAAGTGACCAGTCACATGATATTAACACTACTCAGACCTTACTGAACAGTTCGCACATAAACGTCACGTGTCTGCATACCCACAACAAATATATTTTTGTGAAGCGTTAACGAAGCTGGCTTCAAATAGTTGTTGCATCAATTTTAGTAATTAATTAATTAATAGTAAAATACGTTATGCTGTGTTGCAGTCTTTTTCCCCCCTCTCTTTAACCGTTTAAATAATGCTAACTTAGGAAACGCTTTTTACTTCTTTGTGAAGAGCTAGATCAAAAACGATATATAATTTATATATTTTTTATTTAATTTGAAAATCAACTATATATGAAGAATAATCCAACAAAATGTCACCTGAATTAATGTAACTGAGTATTTTACCATATACAATATCTCTATTTGAATAAAAAAAAGTGCGTTACATCTTACAGAGTATGATTAACACAAACGGATGAAAGTGAGTTGAATGAATTCCTTGACAAAAAGGCAAGGTATGGTGACCAGGTTTCAAATGGATTTCACAGACCCGGTGGTAAACAGAAAATATTTTGAATACAATATGGCTAAGGTTAAGATCCCATTCCCATAGACATCATCGGTCTACCTGGATCGACTCAACTGCGGGGATTCTCGCTAGAGCAATCAGCTTAACTGAATGTCATGGAGCTTAGACTAATGTTATCAATGGGAATAGGGTCTAGGCTCCATGTGGCACACTCTCGACTGTCCAGCAGTCACTTAAGAGTTCACCACAAAAAATACCGACTAATACTGATAGCGTCTCTCTCTCTCTCTCTCTCTCTCACACACACACACACACACACACACACACACTCTACAAGAAATGAAGGGAGTCGGCCATTTCACTTTGTCCACAATCCTCCTCCCAACATGGAAAGGACATCTCAATCTCACACTCACAAAAAAACAAAAATGTTAATAAAGTTCAAGCATTATGCTCTCATTATGCAACGTCTACGTGGGAATTAAATCGCATGTCCTTTTAGGCTATTTGCAAAAACACACTGCACGAAGTCACTTGATAAACGCTGTCACTAGAGGACGCTCTTCAAAGCTGCAGTCAAAAAAAGACAGCTTGCCAGTAATATTCCACAGGCAAACAATGACGTCGAACTGTTGCAGAGGTTTCCACGACACACACATTCTTCTCCAGCCTGGCGATCCAAGGTAGGCGCCCCAACGGACTCTAAGATTTTGAAGACTGCATCTGCCCCTGGAAACAAGTCATCTTTACCCGCCGGCTTGCGGCAGCCGTTGTCACTGATTAAAACTGAACTTCCGGCACTGGCGTCATTTGCGCAACCACGTGACACTGTTCTTACCGAAACTCTGTGTTCGCCCTAAAATGAAAGAAAATATGCACTTACTCCGGTAATAAGACTACACGTATCAATTATAATTTATATTAGTATTGGTTGTAAACTGTAAGAAAACTTAAACACGGTTTAGGTTATATAGTCATTTTATTCGTTATGATAGATTCACATTGTTGCACTGTTCTTTACTATACAAAATACTGTCGCCTACACACACACACATTCCATTTATTACGTATAATGAAATGGGGAAGAGATTGCTACATTTTCCATTCAGAAAAAGGAAAAAAAACATACCAAAAACTGAACATTGAAATGCATCGTCACATTAGCCTTCTCACATCCTCCATTACAAGATGTCGTGCCAAGACTGGCGATTCGGCTTGCCTCACAATCTTCGTCTGTGGGAAGTTTCGCCAGGGCATTATTTATTGGGGTGCTTACGATGCTTCCCAGTATGTTATCCGTATCAAACTTCACTGTATAGGATGAACAGCTATAGCATTCCTCCCCAGTCACAAGATCTAAAAAAAAACACAAAGTTAAACTTATGTAAAAGCCACACGTGTGTACATGTATTTATTAGGCGCATTCATAGCAAGTTGATTTGCGGACTAACATGTCCGCAGATCAATTATGATCGACCCACTTGAACGCTTGCCGCATACTCCCCTGATAGACACTGAATAGCTTCCATGCGTGGACTTTTATTGTAAATGAAGCAATAGTCTTTTTTGTAACTTCAGCTTGCATCAGCGTGTGCTGATAAAATATTGATAATTAAATATGGAGATCACGTGAAGAAGATCAATATACTTTTTGGGCTATTTTTAAAACGTGAAATTATAATGGCGTTTACAGTGAATATTCAAATGCTATGCGACACAGCAACATGCACTACATGTACACACATGCATATGTATGTGAGACGCAAATGAATTCATCCGCACGAACAGTAGGACCCAGATACGTGTAGTAAGTTCCCCTATTGTTTAAACGTTATGAAATAGGTGGAGGTTTCAGTGCATGTAGGATTCCGAACGATACTGGGGGACAAATGTCCGCATAAAACATGGGGTGGGACACACTCACTAACACACACACAGAGAGAGAGAGAGAGAGAGAGAGAGAGAGAGAGAGAGAGAGAGTTACGTGTATTTAGAGAAGAATTCAAATTAAGCCTATAAAATAAATAGATTTATCGTTATTGTAACAATCTTTTAATGCTATTCAATATGCCGTTATGCTATTTACATTTCTGAATACTTTTTGCCCTCAGCTTTTATCACAAGTTTTATAGATATGTTACAAGTAATCTACTATCTCCTTCTCGTCGATTAACATTATCTTATCGCACACTCCAGCTGTTTTCATTTCAAAGAAATAAACACTATCGTTATTATTGTTTTGGAAAAATGTTTTGACTGCCTCACGAATGCTATTCTCTAATAATACAAGTGACATAACATATTAGAAAAGGACATACAGATAGCGGATGAATTATTACGGAACATCAACAATAAACAAGCTCCGAAATATAAAAAAAAAATCGACATTAATATCATGAGTCCTCGTTAAAAAGGGGTCAGGTATCGATAAATAGCACGCAACCCTAAAAGAAATTGTGAGCGGGAATTCCAACCAATATTTCATGGCATAGCCAAAAACAGCTTTTTTTTTTTTTTTTTTTTTCAGAAAGTAGCCTTTAAAATTACCCTTACTTATTTCCTTAAATAGAAAACTCGTGGCAGGGTGATAGTCAGTTAAAACACTGATTTGGTGCCGAGCACGAACAGCGCATCTTGCCGTCTGCTTCTGAAGCCGGCCAATTTTGATAGTAGGACTGCTCGTTTTGTTTTTCCATTTCTATTTTGCATTGGGTCTTTTGTTTTAGGCATCGACAAAATAATGTCATTATGTCCAAGTTTTAGGTTACGTGATCTATAATAACCGCATCATGTCGCCGTGTGTGTGCTTGTGTGTGTGCGTGCGAGAGAGAATAAGTGAGAGAGAAAATGATGGGAGAGAGAGAGTTGATAGGGAATTCCTTTGATCACCGTTCCTACGAATTTCACACAACGGGCACACTTCGAGGTTCTTTTAGTTTTATCCTATTAACCTGTATCAGGGGTTGGCCAGGGGCGGATCCAGGATTAATGTTTTAAGGGGGGGGGTCTGGAAAGAACTATGATTCAGCTAGTCAAAATTCTAATTTTCAAGAATATTGGTGTGATATATTTTTCTGAAACCGAAGGACCTCCTGACCCCCCCCCTTC